TGAAGCATTTTGGTTTATTTTACAACTTCATGTCACTAGGAAATCCTCTTGGTGCGTTCCTTTTCTCAGGTCTCCTGGCAGGCTATGTATATGATAATGAGGCAGCAAAGCAGCAGGTACCAAATTTGCTGTCCAATTCAAGCATCTCCTGCTCGGGTCCAAATTGCTTCAGGCTCACCTTCTTGGTTCTGGCTGGTGCCTGCGGTTTGGGCTCCATCTTGAGCATTATTCTAACTATGAGGATAAGGCCTGTCTATGAGATGCTTTATGCTGGGGGTTCTTTCAGGATTCCTCAAACTTCAAACCACTAAGCTGCTCGAAGTGTATTATGATAAGGGGAGGCCATGGGAAGCCATTCTCCTGAAGCATATGACATCGTAGATATTCCGGCTATGTAAATTCACTTTTTTTTTTCAATTTTGCACAATGCGTTGCAAGTTTGAGCGCCAACCCACGAAATCAACAGTCATCTAATTCATGTTAAACTAGTTATGATGATAAAGTTTTCCTTTCCATATGACAGCTAAAATGCAATTGAGGAGGATAGTTATCGATGATTGATATCCTGTTTTAACTAGAAGTATACCGAACAAGGTTCATGTATCCATTATTTTTGGTTTCCTTGAAAATGCACTTCTAAATTTCTTTGATGAATAACTTTGCATTAGTGTAATGTTTCAGCTCAATTATTTGAGTGGTTATTTTGAATTGGATAACTGTTGTTTTCGATCTATAATTTAGTTTAGATTGCATGCATTTTTATATAATTAAGTTCATCTTGATTGAAATAAAATCATAGCATACATATTAAATAGACATTAAAACTTGCAATGTATAGCAAAACAAATTTTTTTGTGTATTTTTGGGTAAACGTTATTGTATGAAAGGGAAGAAACTATATAGAGTGAGAACAGAGCAATATACTTAAAAAAGTATAAATGCTGGCTACCTATTATATTTGATGGAAAATAGTAAAAAAAAAGAAGCAAAAGCTAAATAAAAAAACTAAAAAAGAATAAAAGTTGATTGTGAAGATAAACAATAGATAAGTCAGTCAACTAGTTAATTATATATGAAGTTATGCTAAACAAAATCTCAAAATCAACAAAAGCTATAGAGGCACCAAATGGATTTAAGAGTAACTGGATATGAAACCTGATTTAAAGTCTATTAAACAGGACTAAACTAAATAAAAAATATCTTTGAAAACATCCTAATGAGATCTATAAATCTTATAAAAAACTTGATTATTTCTCTCACATTAGATGAAGTAAATTGAGGTAAAGAAGACTAGCCAAGTAAGTAAACGTGTAAAGTTTTTTTTTTCTTTCAAGTGCTTGTATGTCCATTAAAGTAGATGATGTCATGGTAAAAAAAGCCAACCCATAAGGGTCATATTCATGATAGCACCCTAAACTATAGCAGAGAAATAATACTAAAATAAATAAATGTTCATATGTTTCAACCTGTAACCTACAAATGATACATGTTGAAGATTTGATGATCCAAAAAGCATGTAGTCTATTTATGATATTAAAATAACACATAAAGGCAAACAATATGATAAAAAAAAGTCTTAGGATGAAACCTGAAAACCAAAAATGGTGTATAGAGTCTATGAGTTTAGAATCTCTAAGAACCTCCCATACTGAGCCAATAAAAAACCTTCCTCAATGAGTTACTTACAAAGATGTTCATGTGTTTCAACTTGAAATGACACTAAAAAAATAAATATTCATGTGTTTCAACTTGTAACCTACAAAGGATACATGTTGAAGATTTGATGATCCAAAAAGCATGTAGTCTATTCATAATATTAAGATAACACATACAAGCAAACAATATGATAAAAAAAAGTTTTAGGATGAAACCTGAAAACCAAAAATGGTGTATAGAGCCTATGGATCTAGAATCTCTAAGAACCTCCCACATTAAACCAATAAAGAACCTCCCCCAATAAGTTACCATTCTAGACATAATGGTTTGGTAAGACACTCATGGTTTAAAATTAATCGAGTCCTATATAGGCTGGAGCTCTAGACTACCCAATAAAAAAACCTAAGTATCCTTTTTAATAATGTCTGAGACCTTAGCATTCTATGACAACCTAGTATAAGCAAACACCCTAAACGACACTAGTCGCACAACCATTGCCCATCTAGTAACCAATAGTTTAACCATATAGAGGTAGTAGTTTCATTATCAATATTAAAGACGAACTTCCTTTTACAATAATCTTTGATGAGTAGAACCTTCATTCGTGACTAAGAAAACATTAAAGGAGGCATGACATGCCAGAAAGATCTGCCTTTGGGCAAAGTATTATAGACTCATCCTGGCCAAACTGATGATCTATCTGATAATAGTCGCTAGACATGCTTGAGAATAACTGCTTCATTCCAAGTTTGAGTCTTTTTTATTCTTAAGCCACCCTTTTTAAAAGATAACAAACATAAAATTGAGCCACTTTAGCCCTTGAGTGAGAGATATAACAACCTTTACAAAGAAAGACAACTAAAATATCCTTAATCCTTTTAATAATAGAGTAAGAGAGAATAAACACGGAGGACAAATAAACCTGGATAGAAAAAAGAAATGTTTTGGTTAGTTGAAGCCATCCAACATAAGTAAAAAAAAAAAAAAAACTAAGATCCACGGCTTAATCTTGGAAAGAATCCACTCTAGCAAAAACTTATAATCAGAGTGAGTTAGTTTAATATATATCAAGAGAACAATCACGTATCTTATTGGCAAAGAACCTAACTTGAAACCCAGAAGATCTTGTAAAGAGGTCCTAAGCTCATCATTGAATCCTGAAAAAAAGATTGGGCTCTTCTTTGAATTTATAACAAGACCAAACAACCCTATAAAATCATCCAAAACATTCCTCACAATCTTAACCGAGTTTTATTTGTTGACAATAGATCATAAGTTTATTAGTAAAGTACAAGTGAATAATGACATTTTGTTGGCACTGCTAATGATAAACCTTGAGTTTCATGAGGCATTTCTAAAAATACCTCCTAAATTCTCCATAGTCACGACACTCCTGCACTTGGGAGAAGACAACAATCTTTTAGTCGTGTCATTCTCCATAGTCGGGATAAATAAATAAGGGGATAAATAATTGCCCTATTGAAGAACCTTGAAAAATGTGAAGAAACCATGACTCTCTCCATTAAAAAAAATAAAATATTCTTGTATGAAAACAATTCCAACAACAACATTCTAACAACAAAATTGAACTGGAAAATTCAACAAAAAATAAGAAAAACAAATATAATGCAAAATATAAAAAAGAGAAAAAAAAATCTTACTTTAATTTTGTTGTGAGTAGAGTTAAACAAAGGGAAAAAAACAAATTCACACAATGTATTAATTAAAAAAAAGGAGTAAAACTAAGCAGAGAAAAAAGAAAGAAAAGAGAATGACTTACCTAGTAGGGATGAAAAAGGAAAAAAGAGAGGAGTTAAGAATAAGAGAAATTAAGAGAGAAAAGAAAGAAAAAGAGTGAAATGTGTTTGTTTTTTTTACAAAAGAGAAAGAGATAAGAAGAAGAAATGCTTGTCTTTTATAAAATTATAGAATTTAGTCTTTATTTGGGGTTTTTTTTTATTGAAGATTTTACCAATGACTAATTAAATATTAATATTTTTAACACTTTCTTTGGTATTTTTATTTGTAACATTTAATTGAAGATTTTCAGAGCCCCGCAAATATCATCGATGACTTTTTAATCTATTGGTAATTTCGTCTGCAATGAACAATAATTAGCAGTGTCATTGAGAAGTGAACAATTTTAAAGCTCTCCAGAAAATATCAATGGACTTAATCGGTTGGTGATTCCATATATAATAAATACAATGAATAGTATTATGGAGATGTAAACAATTTTAAATCTCTTTGAAATAAGCTAATGGACTTAATCTATTAGTATATTATTGGTATTTTATAGTATGTCGGTAGTTCCATCTGTATAAAACAATATATGTGGCCATATTGTTTCTATAGTACCTATTTATCCATCATGTAAATACTTAAAATCACAACAATGCACATAATATAATAATATCAGTTTTGTGTATAATAATAAAATTACAAAAAATTAAAAGTTTTCTTATCATGTAATAATAAATGCACATCATTATCATTATATTAAAAATAATTTCATTACACATTATCTTCTTCAATTTATTCTGTCATCGTTATCTCCATCGTAATTTTCTATATTAATTATGTATAATTATTGGTTCTTAAAATATCATTTAATTTCTTAATATTAATATTAACAGTAATAAAAATACCCTTGTTAACATGAAAATTTAAATTATATTTTAAATTTAGATATTAACAAATTATTTGATCAAATTAAAAAATATCATCTCCCACGATTACTAAGACGCTCTATTTCAAATTTTCATGCGCACATGAGAAGCCCATTAAAACCATAAAAGTCATTTGATTAAAGGATATTTTCACGGTTGACTTGACTCGACTCTGGTTGGGTCATTGATTTTCACTTGTCTTTTAAGTTTTGTGACTTCAATAATGATTTCCTCTGTCTAGATTTCGACTCTTTTTATTAGTTTAGTCGATAAAAATAAACCCTCCAATTTCTTAATTTTGTCTTATAAAACTGCATTATCAACCTTGAATATGCATAAATCCTTGTATAAATTTCTAAACTAGGCATGGTGTATTTATGGTGCCACTACCTTTTCTTTTGTTTGAGAAATAACCCTTAATTATTTGTAGTTCTTATAAGTAATTTAAGAAGGTTATTTTCTGATCTAATTAAAAAAAATATAAAACTAGTAATATAAGATCAAATCTCGATATTCCGATATTTTTTATTGTCATTCCAAGGCAAAGTGAAAAGTAGAAGGAACGTAACAGAGGGGGGCGAGACCCCTGTGTTGCCGACCATTGAATTAATGATCTTTCTGCTGGCACCATGCATGATGTAATGCTAAAACTTGGAAATTTCCTCGAAGAATCAATGGGACAATAAGCCAAATAAAGAAGACTTTATTATATGTGGAAAATCATGCGACGACGAAGACTTTATCATATGTGGAAAATCATGTGACGACGACGACGAATTCCATCCAAACCACAGGGTCGATAGCGTGGAATTGAATTCCAGTGCCATGGAAGTGGGCAGTTCAATACAATTCATGAACGAACACTAAACTTTTACATCGTAAAAGACAGCAGTTAATTAAATCGATCTGCTACTACAGCAACAACAATCATAAGGTATTATCACTCAGGCTTGCTATCTGTAAATGGAAGTACAAAAATAAAATAAAATACTGTATATTAAGCAAGACATGGAGCACTTCCTTTCTCTTCTCCTTGTTTGTTATCTTGTTTTTCCTCCCCGCAATATGGGCCCTTCCTAATATGAACACGCAACGTCGCTGGCTGTAGGGTACAGTGCTGCGCTCTTCTCCTATAAAGAGCAGCCCTTCAGTGCGCAAAGCCAGTGGTATACAATATAATTCATCAAGTATTTCAAATGGGTTAAACAGGTTCTCTGTAGTAGTGATAAAGCTGATATTCATGGTTTTATTACTAGGGTGGTGGTGTCATTTGTGTTTGGAGGATGAGAGAATTGCTCTATTGGAAATACCTTCCCAATTACAACTGCCGGCTTCTTTTCCCCAAGATTGCAGGTGTTCGCCGCCGTTTGGGTAGTTAGAGGAATTTTGGTTGTATACAAAGCTGGCTTTGTACAAGCTGCTCTTTATACTACAAGACGAATCAACACGCTCGATCTTTCTTTAACAAGGGGTTGGGAATTGGAAGATTTGTGCATAAGGGCGTCATGGGATTGGAAGGGGTAGTTAAAAGGAAATTTTTTTATTTCCAATGGAGCAATTCTCTCTTCCTCCAAACACAAATGACACCACCACCCTAGTAATAAAACCATGAAGATCAGCTTTATTACTGCTATGGAGAAGCTGCTTAACCCATTTGAATTGTATACCGCTGGCTTTGTACAAACTGCTCTTTATACTGCAAGACGAATCAACACACTCGATCTTATGATTGTTGTTGCTGTAGTAGCAATTAACTGTTGTCTTTTGCGATGAAAAAGTTGAGAAAGTAAATTGTATTAGACAGCCCACTTGTATGGCACTGGAATTCAATTCCACACTATCGAGCCTGTGGTTTGTATGGAATTGGTCGTCGTCATCACATGATTTTCATGTAATAAAGTCTTTTTTATTTGGCTTATTGTCCCATTGATTGTTCGAGGAAATTCCAGTTTTTGCTTTACATCAATATTAATTCAATGGCTGGTCCACACACGACTCTCGTCTCTCTGTTACGTTCCTTTTACTTTTCACCATGGTTTTTGAACCCTATCCAAGGTTGATCTGGAGCAAATCTTGGATTATGGGTCAGATGAAACTTCAGAAGGTTAGTTAATTTATCAAGAAATTCTCAAATCCTACCATTGTCAATTCTAACTCAGCAACATCGTCTTTTTATTTGTTAATAATATATTTAAATAAAAATCAAGATTCAAATTAATTTAAATAATATAGTTAAATGAGAATCAAGATTTCAATTAATTTAACTCTTTCTTTCATCCCCCCCCCCCCCCCCCCAAATCCTTCACCATTCTAATCCTTCTCAGCTATCATGTCTTCCTTCTTTGATATTGTTATCAATTAGCACAAGTGCAAATAATCATGCTCTTGGAGATATGAAAATTATCCTACAAATCAACAATTCCATTCATATAGGATTTTAATTTTTCTTGTTTCAAAACTCTTGTTCAAGATTTTAATGACAAAATTGATAAAAAAAAAAGAGTGTAGATTTGATATGCTAGTGACAAAATGTATAGGCAATTTTTATAATATATATGTTGGTTCTTTAAAAAAAAAAACCAATTATAATAAACTAGAAGGTGAAATCTCAATCCAGTTGTGCAGGCTAGAGGAATTGAGTTTGATTGATCTCTCCCATAATAATTTATATGGTCATATTCTTCCATGCCTAAAATCTAGCAGTAATTGGCAAAGGGAACTTGAAGCAATTTCAAATCCTTCTGGAATCGCTTCAGCTCCTGAATCGGTAATCCTATCCCCATGGAATACCCTTCTGTTCAGACATCTTTAGATTTTAAAACAAAGAGTATATGCTACTCCTTCAAGGGGATGATCTCACTTACCTCTCTGGTATAGATCACTCCTGCAATAATTTGATAGGCGTGATTCCTTTTCAACTTGGATACCTTAACAATATCGGGGTGTTGAATACGTTCTATAACAGTTTAACAGGTCCAATCTCACTGGCATTTTCAAACCTGAAGGAAATTGAAAGCATGGATCTTTCCTACAACAATTTGAATGGGGAAATTCCTCGTTAGCTACTTGACTTGCATTTTCTATCATTTTTTCAGTATAGCATACAATAACTTACCTGACAGAACTCCAGATATGATTCCACAATTCTTAACATTCAACGAGTCTAGCTACGAGGGAAATCCTTTGCTCTGTGGACCACCACTCCCCAAAAGTTGCGCTGAAGTAGTACCACCATCACCGTTGCTAAGGACTCAGACTGATGAAAAAGAAGACAATGGCTTCATAGAAATGGAGGCTTTCTATGTGATATTCTCAGTGTCATACATCATGGTCTTGTTGGTAATAGGTGCAGTTATGTATATAAACCCACGTTGGCAACGAGCATGGTTTTACTTCACTGGGGAGCGAATTAATAAATGCTATTACTTTCTGGTAGACAATCTACCCGTGTCAGCCAGGTTCAGAGGATTTCAGCCAGGTACAGGACCCAAAGGCGGACAAGACAACAATGGGTGATTTTTGTTGTGTGCTTTGGTGAACGTTGTAGGGCACAGTAGCAGCTTGCAGCTATAATTTGCAAGCAAAATAGAGTTGTGTACCTTTCCAATGGTGCAATTCTCTTGTGCAATTTGGAGATTCATGTTGCAGATGTGCGCAATTTTCAGACATGTGGGTGATTGACAAGCTGACATTCAGGGGACAATGTTAAATCTCCAGAATGTTTTGCCTCCGAGACTTATTTGCCAGTTGTTATTTTGAAATTTATGCTAGCTTATATCTCTTTCAATTTTTTTTTTTATTTTAATCGAAACAGAATAGATTCTATCTGCTTTTTGAATTCAAATTAAACACAATGCTACCTATATATACCAATGCAAGAATGTGTGCAATTCTCACCATTTTCCTGATTTTAAAATATATAGCTATTATACAATTATCTCTGCCACTAGATATATGGAGCTAGGAATGAAAGAAACGGCAGAGTTCATGATGGGACTGGCTCCAGAAGCTCAGGTCAAATCGTGAGAGATTCGAACCTGCTTTGAAACAGGGCTTTTGATGAGGGTGAGCCTGAGATCATAGATTAGGGAGAGGGAAGGGGGTGTGAAATCATCCACCATTCTTCTATCAATTTACTGAGATACCACCACCCGATTGTCCGCTAGGGATATAGAGACACAATCAGTCTTTTCTCCTTTATTTTTGGAGAAATTATTTTTTAATTTATTTTGTATTTATTTATCATTATAATAATTGATTAATAAAAAATATTTTTTAGTAAAAAATTTTAATTTAATTTTCAAAAAAATATTTTTCTAAAAAATTTGAACGAAAATACTTTCTAGAAGTTGTGAAAAATTTATAAATGTTATATTATTTGCTATTTATATCAAATTTAGTATTTAAACTTTTGATTGCCATATTTTTTTTTACATATTTTTTTTAAATTTTATCTCTTAAAATTTAATTTTTATATTAATTTTAGTTTTTATTTTTATAATTTTTTTTTACTTTTTTCCATTAATAAGTTATTTTCCAGTTTATTTTTTTATGATATAGCCAAATACTAAAAACTATTTTTCAATTTATTTCTTGTTACATTATAAAATATTAAAAAATAATTTATTTTTCTAAAATTTATTTATTTTTTAAAAAACATTACATCCTAACAAATAAATAAATCCTACACATCTTTTGACGCGACCCTGGAATGATATCTTCTACGCCTGAAATAAGCAAAAGGTCCAAAGAGGTGATGGGGCCAACTCTTTCTTTCGCTATATGGAGCAGGTATCAGGGATCAACTTCTCTTCTTCTAATCAACACTTTAAGATTTCAGATCTCCACTCTTATAAAGAAAGCTTGTTCTAAGTACTTTAAACATGATCTAGTCAGCAGGA